TGTCGACTGTGAGTTACCATATTTGGCACCTAACTGAAGTCTGGGACTGTCACATGGCCTTGGCAGTGCAATTCGAATGGGCAAACTCTGTAAGTTGCTCACCAAATAGCACAAATGACACGTGAGGACCAAAACATTGAGTGAAATTACTCGCCAGCGTAATGTCATGTATTTTCAGTTTTCACAACCAATAACCTTAATATTTTTTGAAAAGAAAGAGTATGTGGACCTGAGATTAGTAGGCCAAGATACAGAAGGCAGATAAATTCACCTTTCAAAGAGAATGAGTAGATGCACGCGCTTTACCGTTTACGACACGGCATTTCGTTCCTTGTCCCGAGAAATCAATTCAACCGACCCCCGAGGTCCTTACTTGCACTCGAAGTCCTCATTTTCTGTGACTGATAACACTCCGTGTCTTTCGATAACCCAGTGTTTTACCAAGTTTATCCTTCTTCCTGATGCGGTTTCCGGTTCCGTGGGAATTACACTGACAGCGTACACAAGCACACACAACTGTCAACCGATTCTTATTACTCTGTTTGCCTGTAGTTGGTTTATTACCTCTCCAACCAACCAATTAGTTGCAGAGACATGCTGAAAACATTACTGAAAAGCGCACCTGGATCAAAAAACCCAAGCATCACAATATATCATGAAAATTGGCTCTTGCTGAGCAGTTTATATTTATATTTCATTTTTATATTTCACACACATCCGATACCAGACTGTGTACCAAACAAATCGTGGTACATTAATCTTTATAAAAAGAAAAACGCTCTACGATTTGCAAGTGGGCTAGATTGCCAGATTGCCCAGGCCAATGCAGGGCCATCACCAGTGGGAATCAATGACATATGCAGTGCTTCACATAATCCTGTAGAATGCATGTAGTGCCTTCGAAGGCCTCAGTATGGGTCGGGGTGGATAGGTGTCTGGGATTGTACCTGGTTACCATTTCCTTACACCTCGCGAAATGCTCCTATATGACCAATCGTCTCAACTAGCCTCTGCTGAGGAAGCCCTATTACCTGCCTCCTCATGGCGGTTTTTTGGCACCAAAGTGAGAAGACGAAAAGCCGAAATCCGGGGCTATAACCGAGTTGGTGAACCATTGGCAGTTCACCTAGGGGAGTTGACTAAAAACCCTGATTCCAAACCAATGAAGAAGAGGCGTAAGAACCACACGCACACCTTCCTGGTCGCGGCAGTGGTCACCGGCCCGATTGGGCATCGAGGTGTATTGGGCACCGTGGACGTTTGACCCCGTCTGATGGGCGTATTATCCAGTGAACTGGACACCGGCCCCCAATGGACTTCAGACTCTGAGCTTCGTCCTGTTGTCCCGCATGTCTGGCTTTCTAACCAGAGGCTTCGAGTGGGGACCCCGAGGCTACCCCTCCCCTTCTCGATCAGGGCAACCGGGAAGTAACGTGCCCACACAACCCATGAACATATTCTTCAAATTTCTTTCTGTCCATATGCTGTAGCACATATGCCAGTTCTGGTTACGTGTTGAATATGTAGTGCCACTAACAAATCAAACGGCGACAGTATCAAATAGAGGGTCTATGAACTGAATTACAATACGAAACATGTGAGGACTGAGGTGCGACACACAAAACGAAGTCGTGATGAGCATCAAACTGGTAACTGGTCGAACGGGACGATATCAGACAAGTGCAAAAAAAAGCAAAATAAAACTCACTTTGACCAACAAAATTTTGGTCCGCACTGGCCCGGAAAGCTTCTGCCTTTAGATTGGAAGTGCTCACGAACACATCGGGTTGCGAGCCGTTTGTGGGCAAATCCGGGACATCAGAAAGTTTCCACGTCTGTTTCGACATGCATTGGAAGAAGGATCCAATCGGTGCGCTGAATTGCGGCTGCTGGATAATCGTGAATCGAGTGACTGAAACCGGAATCACGAGTGAATTTCAATTAGATGTAGTGCATATGGTTTTGAATATATATATATATATATATATATATGTATGTATAGGGAAGAAGAGAATGGGCAAGATTACGAAAAACAAGACCAGGCCATCGATGGTGGTGGTATACAAAGATTTTTCCTTTACAAGTATAACTGTCAGCACCCAAGACACGACGATCACTCAATTGAAACTAAGAAACATGAGAAGCGCTTCAAAAACATCGCTGACCTAACACAGAAAGTCTATAACTATCCTCCGTGCGGAGGCCAGAGTACGCGATCGTACAGCGAAACATTACGAACTACCGCGAAGTACAGATCATCCCTTAAAGGAAATTTAGGTGTCATGGCGGTACCATAGGTGTCACAGGTAGATGGATGTTGCTATACTCTTCGCTATCCGTGATTTGAGCTGCTCTGAAACAATACCTCTAGCTTTAATCAAAACACTGTATTTTGAGCTCTAGACTACCTCTAACTGATCACCTGAGGGGGTAAGGATAAGCACATGCTCCCATCAGTCTTGTACGAGCACCTTACATTTGGATGGTGCAACGTACTCCATCTGGATACCTCGATCACCCGGNCCGCGTATTGTTACTCAATGGGGTGATACTATTGGCATCATTAAGGTCGAAAACTCTGCTCTCTGGAGCGAACTCAATTCCATCGTTTGCTAGAGCGGACAAGGCACTCCATAGGACATCTTCTATGGCAAACTCGAAGATGGTTGCGGATAAAGGATAGCCTTTCAGTACTCCACTGAAGACAGCAAACGGTGGTGGAATATGTCCGTAGGCGGTAGCTTGACCGGGGGTATGAAGATACAACTCTTTCAAGCTTGACGCATTCTCAGGTGTTTTATTTATCAACGAAAAGTCCCAAAGTGCAGTTCTATCGATAGAATCAAAGGTCGATCGAATCCCTAAGGACACAGTAATTGATGATCCCTGAGAAAAATGACGGTACCTGTCTATTTGTATCCGATCGATCGACGAGGAACCCAGTCTACTCCTCGCGGGTCAACTCATCATGTCTATTTTAATGTGCGAATAATGACGGATGGCAAAGGCTTTGACGATTATACCCAGTTCCCGAGCAGTCCTTTGTCAATGATGGAGATAACAATCGATTCTCCTCTCTCACAAAGACAAATGTGTTCGGTTTACAACCGTAGAGAAAATAACTGTCGTCCGTAACAATCAATAAGCTGCAATCTTTAAACAAAGCAAGAGGGTCATCGGAATCCGTCGCTTTGCAACATCCCAGGACAGTTTCGTTTTAAAAGGTGAGATGTACCGGAGTAACTGCAGGAGAAGTTAATGTTGATGGCCAGTTTAATTTCACCTTAGAGTGCGCCACTCTGCATTCAAGAAGTTACTGTCGAATGTGAGCAGGTGAGCTGTCGGCTTTATACATCATTCTGCTGTGATAATGGTAGTGCTAGTGCTTTCCTATTGTTGACCTGCATGAAATGGAGCAGCTTACGATAGTTTCTTATGTCAACAGCACGCTCCATCTGTGATGCACTTCGAGAGCACCAGATTTCGCCGTCTCTGGGTTCAGTTAGCCTTTCGTTACATTTGACTGCATCTGGGCTGCGGTTCGTGGATGCGCACACCGAGACAACAAACATGTCTATCCGGGGGAGCGACTACTTACTTAACACAAACATAATAGTCCTGCTCCGCAAAGCCCTACGTCGACTGGGATCCAATCTAGTAGCGTGGTTTCAGCTTTCTCCCTCTCCTCTCTCTCTCTCTCTGGGAGTTACACTAAAGGAAATAAGACCAGAAGCTTCTGTTTAGGGGCAACCAGAGAGGTGGAAGTGAGACTTCGCCGGTTGGTTGGATGAAGACGTCAACCGCATGACGGAAGCTTAGGTGCGAATGTCTCAGATAAGACATATTTCGATTGCCAATGTCCTATGTTACACAATCGTTCGCATTTTAAATGCGACAGGCTTGAAGGGTATGGAGGATGAATAGCGTCAGCCGACAGAAGTCGGTTCGTCGAGACTTGGAAACTAGTCTAATCACGATGTGAGAGAACAAAGGCAGGGTTAACATCAGAAGCAATATTACTAGTACAGTTTACCGAAGTTCCCGGTGAAAGCGATTACATCTGTGTGAATTTAAAGTAGGATTAAAGGGGTTTGGGTGAACAAGAATTTGTGTACGATATAGAAATTATCCATTAGAAACTGGTGCCAAGGAGCTCAAACTGGAGGATTGAAAAACACTCACTGTTGTTTTTGTCATGGCTTCCGTAATACCTGGACGGCCGGTCAAGAGTGGGCTTCATTTTATTATTCATCCTAACCTTTGAGCAACCAAACACGAACTACAACATAGCTTCATTGCTTGAGGTGAGCAGGCAATCAAAAATGTGGTTCACTCACCTCTTCTGAAGGACCTTGTGGGGGTAACTTACATCAAGTGGCAGATCACATTAACTACATCACAATGATTTCCTCAGATGTGTTTTGCGCCGCAAGCCCCTATGAACTGGAAGACTCAACACACCATTGAGCACTGCTTATTTACTAAGCTTGAGCCTACCTAATTCAGTGCTCCGAGCAGTGGTGGTCAAGTGGTTGGATCACCAACTTGTGGCCTGGGGATCCCGAGCTCGAACCGCTCCACCGCCGCTCGTCTTCCCTAATTCCGTATTTTCCAGGCAGCCTATGTATGGCCGCGGCTCTCCTTCCTGAATGTTGACTGTACATTTGCATATTCAATAAATAAAAAGGAAGTAAAAAGACATTCATTTATTTATTTGATTCCGTGGGTATTCTCCTATCCGGGATATGTGGATGCGCTTGATAGCATACAGTCGAGCCCGATATGAAAGTGACGAGTATTCGCTCAAGTGTACGGTTAAAGTGAACTTTTGTTTTAGCCAGATTAGTGCTCACCTGTCTCATTTGTTTCCGGGAATAGGCTGTCCGTGACAGTGTAGTTGAACGATACAGTGTCCAAACTGAAATGACCACCATCACCTTCGGAAGGAAGCCGTTTGAATTTGAACTCCAAACCCCAAGAAGGCGATTTCGGTTCGGACTTTTCAGGCCACCATTGGATGCGAACACTTTCCGTGTTTTCTTCACAAGAGCCACTGCACAGTGCGGAATCATGCGACGAAGAGTTTAAGAAGAATGATTTCGAGACAGAAGATCCTTGCTGGTAGATGGAGAGTGCAATACAATAGATATAAGGGAAAAGAAACAGGTTAGTAATTCACTGTGAATGTCTTGAAGCAATAATTTTCCTAGTGAATATATTTGACGCAGGTCGAATGGGTTATCAAAGTTTTAAAGAGTTTCAAAGGCATACTAGGCGTTTTTGTGAACGTCATTACATTTACAATATAGAAACAAAGTGTAAACACAACAGAGCATTCGTTTAATCGAACCTAGCTTGAAAAACATCAGCAAATTTCAGGTTGCGGTATTTGATCTGGAGCTACTGCGTACATCCGTACCCAGAAGATATGCATAGCTATAAGCTTCCAGGTGGGTCTTGGGGTTGTAAAATAGGAGGATAACCTCACACATGGTTAACTATCAACAAGCCATGGCTCGCACTGACAAATACACAATTGTGAACAAACAGCAGTGGTACAATCAGGGTATGGGGGGATGACAGACTATTCACCTATCTTTCCGCAGAAGCCAGATGAGCTCCGCGACAAAGGCCGACGTGGCCGGTCTTTAAAAAGTAAAATCGCCGACGTCCGTGAGCATGAGAATTCTACTCTGTCGTGGATAACGGTGTATGAAACTCTTGCTTCTCGTTTTTCTATGGGGCTCAAGATCCACTGGGCATGAGGGCCCGAATGGCGTATAGAACACTTTGGTGACCGGCAATTTTGGGACTGCAGTTTTGTTTTTCCGTCTTACAGGTACGGTTTTGAATGACCAAAGGCTCCGGGTGGAACTCCCAAAGATCCCCTACCCGATCTGGGCAACCAGAAAGTCAGCTGCTTCTCGCAAGAGATAGTAGCATCAAAGTAAAGGTATTCAACGGTCGCCATGCACGATCGATCGGGACATTGAATCTGGTTCTTATTTTCATATCTCCACACTCCTTCCAACACATGTTCTATTGATTATCTTTTTACATTTCACCTCAAATATTGTGATTATTAAAGGATTAAACTGCATTGTTGTGACTACGAGTTTTCCCTCACAAAACCGGTTGTTGTTGCACTGTTCAACTTTTCAATCTATCGGTCTGATAATGGACCGTTACCTTCGACCAGGCAAATAAAAAGCCCATCAGACTCTGAACAATGGACTTACACATCAAGCAGTTTTAATGTCTTTTAAAGTGAGACGATAAAGACAACCTAGGTTTGTTCTCTTATTTCCAGGCACATTCCGTTTACCAACACATCTTCGAATGCAAGACCTGTGACAACGCAATCTCCCGCCCCGAATCACTGTAAGTTCGCTCGATACGTCATTTCTATTTGTAACCTACACTTTCGACAAAACATCATTTAGTCCATTTACAACACCAAGGACTAACTTCCTGGCCGTTTCAGTCGAAAATACTGTGATTATACTGTCTGATATTTGTTACTCGGTTCAAACCTGAGATCATCTGTACCAAAATATTGGAACAACCATTCAGTTTCAGAAACCACTGCTAACTTTCAAGTCTGCATAATATGGAAAGGTCTCTAGAAGACGTCCAAACGCAGTCGAGATCACGGGTGCGCACTGCGTGTCAACTCATCCAATCACTCCACTGACCACATAGCAACCTAGAATCTAATTTATCAGCGGTCTCCAAGGATGCGCATTATTTTTGTGACTATTCAAAACACTCCTGTACCCCGTGTCCTATTATAGACGCTTTTTTAAAAAAACAAGGGAAAAACGGTACACTCCAAACGAGTGCGCAGATCCAGACTAGGACTTTCATCCGTTGTTTGCCTTTGGTCCCTTGTTGTCTGTCATCTTGACTA